TGTTGGAGAGATTGGGAATACAAGGATCATACCTAAATATAATAAAAGCAATATACAGCAAGCCGACAGCTAACATCAAACTGAATGGAGAGAAACTCAAAGCCATTCCTCTAAAATCAGGAACACGACAAGGCTGTCCACTCTCTCCATACCTCTTCAATATAGTGCTTGAAGTTCTAGCAATAGCAATAAGACAACATAAGGGGATCAAGGGGATTCGAATTGGAAAGGATGAAGTTAAACTTTCGTTATTTGCAGACGATATGATAGTATACATAAGCGACCCCAAAAACTCTACCAAAGAACTCCTACAGCTGATAAACACCTTTAGTAATGTGGCAGGATACAAGATCAACTCCAAAAAATCAGTTGCCCTCCTATACACAAAGGATAACGAAGCAGAGAGGGAAATCAGAGAAGCATCACCTTTCACGATAGCCACAAATAGCATAAAATATCTTGGGGTAACTCTAACCAAGGAAGTGAAAGACCTATTTGACAAGAACTTTAAGTCTTTGAAGAAAGAAATTGAGGAGGACACCAGAAAATGGAAAGACCTCCCCTGCTCTTGGATTGGGAGAATCAACATAGTAAAAATGGCAATTCTACCAAAAGCAATCTATAGATTCAATGCAACCTCCATCAAAATCCCATCAAACTTCTTCACAGACCTTGAGAGAACAATAATCAAGTTTATATGGCAAAACAAAAAACCCAGGATAGCCAAAACAATCTTATACAATAAAGGAACTTCTGGAGGCATTATCATCCCTGACTTCAAACTCTATTACAGAGCAACAGTATTGAAAACAGCTTGGTATTGGCATAAGAACAGAGACGTCGACCTACGGAATCGAATAGAAGACCCGGATATTAACTCACAAACCTATGAACACCTGATTTTTGACAAGGGAGCTAAAGGTATACAATGGAAGAAGGAAAGCATCTTCAACAAATGGTGCTGGCATAACTGGATGTCAACCTGTAGAAAAATGTAAGTAGATCCATATCTATCACCATGCACAAAACTCAAGTCCAAATGGATTAAAGACATCAACATTAATCTGACCACTTTGAACCTGATAGAAGAGAAAGTGGAAAGTAGACTGCAACACATGGGCACAGGAGACCATTTCCTAAGTAGAACCCCAGTAGCATAGACAATAAGAGAAACAATGAATAAATGGGACCTACTGAAACTGAGAAGCTTCTGTAAAGCAAAGGACACTGTCAGTAAGACAAAAAGGCTACCTTCTGACTGGGAGAAGATCTTCACCCACCCCTCAACAGACAAAAGTCTGATCTCCAAAATATACAAAGAACTCAAGAAGCTAGGCACTAAAACTCTAATTAACCCAATTAAAAAATGGGGTACTAAACTGAACAGAGAATTCACAACAGATGAACTTTGAATGGCCAAAAGACACTTAAGATCATGCTCAACCTCCTTAGCGATCAGGGAAATGCAAATCAAAACAACTTTGAGATACCATCTTACACCTGTCAGAATAGCTAAACTCAAAAACACCAATGATAACCTATGCTGGAGAGGATGTGAAGTGAGGGGAACACTCATCCATTGTTGGTGGGAATGCAAACTTGTGCAGCCACTGTGGAAATCAGTGTGGTGGTTTCTCAGGAAACTGGGAGTCAGTTTCCTGAATCAACCTCCCTCAGGACCCAGCAATTCCACTCTTGGGAATATACCCAAGAGATGCCCTATCATACTACAAAAGCATTTGTTCAACTATGTTCATAGCTGCGCTATTTGTTTCCAGAACATGGAAACAACCTAGGTGCCCCTCAATAGAAGAATGGTTAAAGAAGGTGTGGAACATATACACATCAGAGTTATACTCAGCAGTAAAAAACAATGACATCTTGAATTTTGCATGCAAATGGATAGAAATAGAAAACGCTTTACTGAGTGAGGTAACCCAGACCCAAAAAGAGGAATATGGTATGTACTCACTCATAAGTGGATTCTAACCATAGTTAAAGGTCTTTGAGCCTATAATTCGTGATCCTAGAAAAGTTAAATAAGAAGGTAAACCTGAAGAAAATCATATAGTTATCCTCCTGGATATTAGAAGTAGACAAGATTGCCAGGCAAACTTGGGTGCACGGGGGGTGGGGTGGGGAGGTGGAAGTAAGGGGAGATGGTTAGAGAGAAGGGAGAGGGGGAGGATTGGGGATGGCTTGGGGGAATGGGATGGGGGGAGGAAGGATGGATATGGGAGCAGGCAAGTATATATCTCAACTAAGGGAGCCATTTTAGGGTTGGTAAGAGACTTGTTTCTGGAGGGGTTCTCAGGCCCATGGAGAGGTCCCCAGATTCTTCCCTGGGCAGCAGAGGAGAGGGTGCCTGAACTGGCCTTGGCCCATAATCATACTGATGAATATTTTGCATGTCACCACAGAATCTTCATATGGTGAAGGATGGAGGTAGAGACAGAGACACATATTGGAACACTGGACTTAACTCCCTAGATCCAAATGAGAAGCAGAAGGAGGGAAAACGTGAGCAAGATAGGCAGGACCAGAGGGAACCTTCATCCGACGATGGATGGTGATAGAGACGGAGACCCACATTGGAGCACTGGACTGAGCCCCCCAAGGTCCAAATGAGGAGCAGAAGGAGGGAGAACATGAAAAAGGAAATCAGGACCGCGAGGGGTGCGTTCACCCACTGATACAAGGATACTGATCAAATGAGAGCTCACCAAGGTCAGCTGGACTGGGACTGAACGAGCATGTGATCAAACCGGATTCTCTGAATGTGGCTGACATGGGGGCTGACTGAGAAGCCATTTACAATGGCACTAGGTCTTGTTTC